CAGTTCCTATTCTTTCTAGTATCTCATTTCCAATTTTTAATTTGCAGTTCTCAGGATCAAAATGCATATTTTTATTCCTAAATATCATAAACTTTGTTTTGGAAACATTTAGTGTTAAACGGTTTGCCTGAAACCATGTAGCTGCCTTTTTTAGTTCAAAGTTCGCATCAATTACTAAAGTTTCGATATGTGGAGATGATTTTAGAAAACTAGTGTCATCAGCAAATAGATTAGTAAAAAAAGACGTTGCTAAAGGCAAATCGTTTATGTATATGAGAAAAAGTAGGGGCCCAAGAACACTTCCCTGAGGAACACCACATAAAATTGTTTTTTCTTTAGAAAAAATACCATTTATACAAACATATTGAGTCCTATTTACTAAATAGTTTTGAAACCATGTGTTAGCTACACTTTCTACAACCAGTTTAACATAATCCACTTTCTACAACCAGTTTAACATAATCTCCTTTCTACAGCCAGCATAGCATAATCTCCTTCCTACAGCCAGTTAAACATAATCTCCTTTCTACAGCCAGTTTAACATAATCTTTTTACTACAACCAGTTAAACATAATCTCCTTTCTAAAGCCAGTTTAACATAATCCACTTTCTACAGCCAGTTTAACATAATCTCCTTTCTACAGCCAGTTAAACATAATCTCCTTTCTACAGCCAGTTTAGCATAATCTCCTTTCTACAGCCAGTTTAACATAATCTTTTTTCTACAACCAGTTAAACATAATCTCCTTTCTAAAGCCAGTTTAACATAATCCACTTTCTACAACCAGTTTAACATAATCCACTTTCTACAGCCAGTTAAACATAATCCACTTTCTACAGCCGGTTCAACATAATCTCTTTTCTACAGCCAGTTTAACATAATCCTCTTTCTACAGCCAGTTTAACATAATCCTCTTTCTACAGCCAGTTTAACATAATCCCCTTTCTACAGCCAGTTTAACATAATCCCCTTTCTACAACCAGTTTAACATAATCTCTTTTCTACAACCAGTTAAACATAATCTCATTTCTACAGCCAGTTTAACATAATACCCTTTCTACAAACAGTTTAACATAATCTCCTTTCTACAACCAGTATAGCATAATCTCCTTTCTACAGCCAGTTTAACATAAGCTACTTTCTACAGCCAGTTTAACGTGTCTCTCAAATTTCTTCTTCTGTACTCAAAGATAATTAATTCTATATTAGATGTTTTGTAAAAAACCCTCAGCACTCTCATGACAAAGCCAATCAAGATAATATCTAAAGATTACACTTCAGAGACGACTGTATGGAATTTATGTGGGACATTTGTCTGACAGTCTTGATCCCCTGCAACTTGAAACTTGTTTCTTGCTTTGCCAAATCACTGAGTAAATCACGTTGAGGTTATATTATAGACAACAGACTAAGGTCAAGCTTCAAATCGCAATATCTCATGATTTAAGGTCGTCGTTAAAGGCATATCTTTAGTGGATATCCCTTTACACATGTGGAGTATAGATTTTTATTTTAAGTTTGGAAGATTCGAACCCATTGTGCTATTTTAGGGAAGTTGAGAGTAGTTAATCTGGGAAAATTTGTCCTTAATCAGATTTTAAATTAATTTCTTTTACTTGTTAAGTGAACTGGAGAGTGGAGATGCCATTGCAAAACCTTCTGCTCGAGATGCTCGTCTATTCTTGCTTCTTACATCAACATCAACCATCAGTGTAACATCAACAACTACAACAACATCATTCACAGGTTCTTATAAAAAAACTTGAAAATATTTCTAAAATACTACTTTTACAAGAAACCGTTGTTTAGGAACCACCACGATATCTGTACTATGCATACCCGCTGCCATTTCAGCTTGTGGATAAATCGTTTATTATCGTTATTCTTCTTGTTATCGTGATGCTTGACTGATGTGATTCTAACAGTGAGTTAAATAAATTGTTATTGTTTTTTAAATAGTACTTTTAAGCATGAAAGTATCTGACCTATAGTAATAAAAGAACATTCGACAGGCAACTAATTTATCTTGTAATTTCCTCAATGAATAAGCCAGTATTTAGAATTTAATGTTGTTGATCATGGAGGCACGTAGAACAGTCCGATTAATTTAATTTAAAGTATTTAACTTTGCTTATTTCAGAACATGACAGCAATGCAAGGCATCTCTGCTTGAAAGAATTATTTTTTTTGTTACAATCACATTCTCTCCTTGTTCATTTTCAATGGAGATCTTGTGTGATTACGCACTATACCCGTAATTATAAGTGATCCTACATGAAAAGATAACATTTTTTTATTTACAACGATCTGATCGAAAATGTGCAAGATGCCGTCGTTTTTCTGACTCGAAAAGTGTTTATTTCTTTGAATTTTTCAATTCTAATTCACACTAGATCAGATAAAGGTTTTAAAGGTTTCGTTGTAAACCTAGCATTGCCATCATTGGATGGAGGGTCCCTTAGAATTACATGTACATTCCCTTTAACTCCCTTCAGAAGTTAATACAAGAGAGAGGTCAACCATTATCAGATTAATGCTAAACGGATATATTATGTACAGGGTTTCTCACAATGAATGAGACTGAAGTTGTTCGCCAACTATTCAGTCTTTTGCCTGGTTTCTTTCAACTGTAAACTTTTTTCTTTCTTTATCAAATTATTTAGTAAATCATTTGAAAACTATTTTCAAGGCAGAAGACAAAGATCAAACTTCAGATTTAGAAAGTTTTAAGTGGTCATGAAAGTCCAGTATATATAGTCTTAAAAATAGTATTTAAATGGTTTACACAAAGACGCTTTTTTGGGTTAACTAAATGATTTGAAAAAGCAAGAAACAAGTTTACAGTTGTAATAAACCAATACTACAAGCAAAATACTGAATAAAAAGCGCACTGAACTACTTTATTTAAATTTGGATGTAGTATAACCCTGAACGATGAAAACCCTATGATCCGTTAAAAAAACTATTTTAAAACCTGTCCTGGCCTGCCCTATGTATTAAAAGAAAAATTGTAGATAATAAAACTTGAAAAGAATTAAATGCTCGCCACAAATTCAGACTTTCGAATCTCTAAACCTTGGCAACCGGATGTTGTAGAATTCTTTTTGATAGTCTTTAAGTTTGAAGTATTAAAGGTTTACGCCATCAAGTTGGATAGATATCGCGATTAGAACATTTGAGTTTGTGGCGAATGTTCATTTCATTTGTAGATTTTGATAGATTTAAATGGAGCTTTCTGCTGGGTAAAAACTCCATTGAATGTTTAAAAACTGATTAACTATATTTAGTGTACTTACATTAAAGACTCTGAAATAAGAAACACCAGAATTGTCATATACAACAGAAAATAGAAATATGAGAAATATCCGAATTATCAGAAATATCAGGATTATCAAAAATATCAGGATTATCAGAAATATCATGATTATCAAAAATATATCAGGATTATCAGAAATATTAGAATAATCAGAAATATCAGAATCCTCAGAAATATCGGAATTATTAGAAATAATAGAATTATCAGAAATATCAGAATTATCAGAAATATCAGAATTATCAGAAATGACAGTAATATCAGAAATGAAAGAAAAAAATATATTTTGCAGATTGAAACAACTAAAATAATGTTTATAAAAAAATCATTATTGGAATCTATGTGACGTTACTTTAAGTAATCTGCCTGTATGAAAAGGCAAGTAAGCATATTACATATGCAAAAATAACCTAAATAAGTGTTTACCAACCTCCAATTTATTTTGTCCAAATTTGATGTATTTAATTAATTCCCTTCATCGCTTTTAAACATTTTCTTTTCATCTTTCTAATACTCTTAAAGAAATTTCATCAAAGGTCGATTATTTTTTCGAAAAAATTTTACAAAATATTCAACTGTGATCTTTCCAGGCAACATTTGTTGCAAAAACATGTTGGGTCGACTCTTCATTGAGTAGACTGACTGAACGGTACGACTAAATGCATAAACAGTACATGTTGTACTGGCACGGATCATGCAACATTTAGACTGGGGTGATTCATGATATTCATGTACAACTGCTGCTTTACATTAAATTATTCTATTTTCCACTTTTATTAATATGTAAATGTATAAAATGTTGTTAATAACAGGAGATTGATTTAAACCTTCAAGTTAGGAAAAGAAAGAGTTCCAGAGTTGAATACTTTTGTATTGAATACCTATAATCTTGATGGCTAAACCTCTGTATCCAATGTCGACACTTTTTATTATCTTCTGCTTAATCTTCTCTTTTGTTCTCTCTTTTGGATATCCCTGTTGTCTACGAACCAATAATAGTTCTTTTATAAACAGTGCCCACAAAATTTCAAAATTTCTGGCGCTTCTGATTGGCTGTTCGGTTTCTACAATTAACACTCTGATTGGCTGCCGCTTAGAAAATTTCCCGGGTATTAACGAAAGATAAAATTAGGTTTCAGATTAATGAATTTTAAGGTTTTCAGCTCAGATCTAATAAATGGCGAGACATAGTTGAACCGTGTAAAGCATTTGAACCACTTCCCTTCTGCTTGACCTCAGTCTATTCTTGAGTATAACTCCGCTTAATTTGTTTTTAACTATTTGTTATAAGTCACAGACTCACAGCAAATAAACCAATTTTGTCAATCTCTTTTATAAATATCAATTCCTTTATATTATTTAAATGAGTATTATTTCGGGTATATTTACCAATTAATAATTCTGTTGCGAATGACTGGTCAAAATTGATTTTAAAATTATATTGACAATAATTTTAAGCCATAGCAAGTAAAAGTATGAATTTTAAACTGCAAGTAAATACATCTATATCATCACTTTTTAAGATAAAGCTCGTTTTGAAATAGAAATAAACGAATGAAACTTAATCTCCTTACATTGGTTTTCTGAATAAACTTGAATAGAAAAAAAACTTTTGAACCAATTTTTAACTCTTATTCTTCTTATTTTACTTTATTCTGGTGTCTAGTGTAATGTATTCATAATTTGAATCATTTTGAGCTAAAATACCGATATTTAGTGATATACATCTTCTAGTTCTCAATCAGATATTTAGTGATATAGGTCTTCTAGTTCTCAATCCGATATTTAGTGATATAGGTCTTCTAGTTCTCAATCAGATATTTAGTGATATAGGTCTTCTAGTTCTCAATCAATTGGATCATTCAAGGAAGGTCAAAAACTTATGAATATATTCTTACTAGCGAAAATTTATATTAGCGCTATCCCATAAAAATATCTGTATCTGTATCTGTAGCTGTATCTGTATCTGTATCTGTATCTGTATCTGTATCTGTATCTGTAGCTGTAGCTGTATCTGTATCTGTATCTGAATCTGTATCTGTATCTGTATCTGTATCTGTATCTGTATCTGTATCCAGATATGTATATGTATATGTATTCAGATCTGCATCTATATCTGTATCTGTATCTGTATCCAGATCTTTATATGTATTTGTATCCAGATCTGTATCTGTATCTGTATCAAACTTTACAATTATAAAATAACAAGGTAACAGAGTTTATTTAAACATAAAAGGATTAAAACTATAACAAAAAGTTAAAAATAAGTTCTAAGTTTATCCGCAAGCAGTGAAGGTGGCGGCAGGGGTACATCCAGAAAGACTGATCGAATAGGTGGCTTAAATAAGATATATTATAATATTTTTATTGTCAGTAGTTGCAAACAAATCTGCATAATCAACCCTGATCAATAACTTGGCATTTAAAGATTTGTAGAAATGTAAGGTACTTGATTTTATTTGAACAAATTAGAGACTAAATGTTTTGATATTTATGTCTATTTAAATTGTAAATGCATACCTGTGTAACTGAGTGATGTTGATGTTGATGTTGAAGTACTGGTCGTTGTTGTTGTCATGTAGTACCAGAAGAATTTTGCATTACGATTTCCAGCTTTCATCTGACTTCCTTCTACGCTGTCCACATCAATAGAGTCTTCCACCTTCCTAAATACAGTTTTATCTTTTATTTTTTATCTTTCATTCTTTTATCTTTCGTTCTTTTATCTTTCATTTTTTTATCTTTCATTCTTTTATCTTCCATTCTTTAATCTTTAGTTCTTTTATCTTTCATTCTTTTATCTTTCATTCTTTTCTTTTTTATTCTTCCTTTTTTTCTTTTACCTTTCATTACTATCTTTCATTATTTCATCCTTTTATATTTTATTCTTTCATATTTCACTCGGTTATCTTTCATTCTCTTATCTCCAATCTTGTATCTTTCAATCTTTTATTATTCATTCGTTTATCTTTCATTATTTCCGTACTCTTATCCTTCTCTTCCTCCTTCTCATCCCTCATCTCCCCATTCCTCCAAATCCCTCATTCTCCCCATTCCTCTAAATACCTCATACTCTCTCTCCACCAAATTGCACATTGTGAGCTAGTTACCTTTTAACTCTACTGATTTCAATTGTATCTTCAGCTTTACTGATAGGATCATTAGTCATCATCATTCTTTTACGTCTACACGCTTTTGTTATGGCTGTAAGTCTAAAATACAAAAGTTTGTGAATTGGATTGGAATTCAGTTTAAAAAAATTTTTCTTGATATTTTTCTGAAGAAAAATCTTACGCAAAGCATGTAGTTGTTGTCTGTAAAATCGATGTTGTTGTTGAGACTGTTGTTGATGTAGTAGAAGTTACTAAAAATAGTTTCCCTTCTCTAAACAGATTTATCTTATTAGTAAAATATAGATTATCAGCTTAAAGGTTTGTAAAGGTGGATTCTTGAAAATTAAAAAAATCAAAATTCTTTCAGAACACAGAATAAAAATGCCAGAGAGTGAGTAGAGGAGTAGAAAAAACAATTTCAGAGAAGAAACACAAAACAAGTTAAAGAAATGAGGATATGAGGATCATTGCAAAGTATAAACGTATCAAGTCGTGACTAAAAAACCTCTGTCAAAACGTTTGCAATCTATGATATAAGTTAAAATCTTTCAATTCCATATATTTGCAAAAAGTTGAAATAAAAAAAAAACGTTAAAACTGAAAATATTTTTTGAATTTCACCTATCAGCAGAAGCTGAGACTCCTATGAAGAATAGCGGGGTTAAGATCAACAATCTCATTTTCTAAAACAAATTTTCTTAAATCAACACTTATTGAAAGCAAAAAATCATTTGCAAAAAGGAACTGAATTTTTCTAACATTTTAATCCTTATAACTTAGCAACACAATGTCGCAGAAATTTGAATTATATTAGATCGAAATTTGAATTATATTAGATCGAAATTTGAATTATTTTAGATCGAATATTCAAAGTTTCAAATATTAAATATTTACACCATCAAGGTACAAATGTAAAGGGTACAGAAAATTTCTGGTAGTCAAAATGGTTTATCTCTGAAAGCACTTAAATCCCTGCACTTTGCACTAATTCATTCTTATTTTGCACATTGTCTTATTGTCTACAAAGAATATTAAAAATTGTATCTATTGCAAAAGAGATACAATGGACTAATATAGTACAGAAAATTACTTAAATTGCGTGTCGATAAACCATTTTAGCGTATCACCCTAAAAACTATAAACAGTCTGGAAAGATCATTTATTGAAGAAATATTATTGGTCCGGCTTTGTAACCGCGTAGGTCCTCATTCCAGAGAACTTTGACTTTCGATCACAATTTGGCCTTTTAAACATCAAATTTTCCATTTTTCCTTTTTATACTTTTTTTTGTCGGCATACGCGTTTTAAACTAAAAATTATAAAATGACAAAATCGTAACTTTAAAGATTGTAGAGTTATATATCAACACGTGATTGATTTCAAATAGAAGAAACCGAGTGTATTTCGCCCTGGTTAGTTCGGAGTGGTTTAGTTTTGATTTTATACAAGTCTGAGAGATTCAAATTTATTTGATATTTAATATTTTCAATATCTCTTAAACAAGAGGAGTTATGAATAAAAACTTGCCATCTCTAACCTTCTTTAAAAAAATAAGAATTACAGGGGGTTTTTCAAAACAGCTCTAAGCTATCTAAATTCTAAGTTCTCCTGCTATATAAATTTATTTTACTATTGTTTTGTTGATTATTACTGTTCTTGGTTAAATAGATGATTTTATTTAACTTGTTGTTCTTGACTTATTTAAAAATAAAATACGAATAATTCAACACAGAATCTTTCCCATAGGTTTGATGGAGTCCATTTAATGGTGTGGATTAAAGATTGAAGCGTGGTATACCTAGCGGATCAGAAGAAATACTAAATATATTTTCTCATTCCTACATTTATACAAGTCATTCACAGACACGCACAATCTGGGGAAAGAGTATATTTCTCACTCATTCATTAATTCATTCAGTTGATCAAAATTTATTGTTGTTTTAAATCATAAAACAAAAATTTGAAGCGAAAGATAAAAAATTTAAATGTTGATTAACTGCAAATAAATTTGTTCCTGAATAAAATGATACGGAAAAGCTTTTGAACCAAAGAAAGTTTTAACTCTAATTCTTCTTACTTTACTTTATTTATAATTTGAAAATTTTGAAAGGTCAAATCTTGTTAATTGTTAATCGTAGAAATCTGTGTCATCAATTTTCTTGGAGTAAGCACTTGATATTGTTTTTTTTTGTTTTGCCTGTATCTGTTTCTGTATCTATATCTGTATCTATATCTGTATCTATATTTGTATCTGTATTTGTATCTGTATCTGTATCTGTATCTGTATCTGTATCTGTATCTGTATCTGTATCTGTATCTGTATCTGTATTAAACTTTACAACTATAAAATAATCAGGTGACAGTGTTTATTTTAACATAAAAGGATTAAAACTATAATAAAAAGTTAAAAATTAGAAGTTTATCCGCAAGCAGTGAAGGTGGCGGCAGGGGTACATCCAGAAAGACTGATCGAATAGGTGGCTAAAATAAGATATATTAAAATATGTTTCATTGTCAGTAGTTGCAAAAAGCCTCACAAACACTAATCAATAAGTTGAACATTTAAAGTTTTGCAAAAATGTCAAGTTCTTGATTTGAACAAATTTAGACTTCATTTTTTTTAATATGTCTGCATTTATTGTATGCATACCTGTGTAACTGGTTGATGTTGATGTTGATGTTGAAGTACTGGTCGTTGTTGTTGTCATGTAGTACCAGAAGAATTTTGCATTACGATTTCCAGCTTTCATCTGACTCCCTTCTACGCTGTCCACATCAATAGAGTCTTCTACCTTCCTGAATACAGTTTTATCTTTTATCTTTTATTTTTTATCTTTCATTCTTTTATCTTTCGTTCTTTTATCTTTCATTCTTTTATCTTTCGTTCTTTTATCTTTCATTCTTTTATCTTCCATTCTTTTATCTTTTATTCTTTTATCTTTCATTCTTTTATGTTCCAATCTTTTATCTTTTTTATCTTTTATTGTTTTATGTTTCATTCCTAAATCTTTCATTCTCCCCCTTCCTTGAAATCCCTCATCTTACGTCCACCTCGCAATACCTCATTCTCCCCTACCTCCAAATCTCCCATTCTCCCCATTCCTCCAAATCCCTCATTCTCGCCTGCCTCCAAATCCCTCATTCTCCTCATTCCTCCAAATCCCTCATTTTCTCCATTCCTCCAAATCCCTCATCCTTCCCCTTTCTCCAAATCCCTCATATATAGGTCTTCTAGTTCTCAATCAGATATTTAGTGATATAGGTCTTCTAGTTCTCAATCAATTGGATCATTCAAGGAAGGTCAAAAACTTATGAATATATTCTTACTAGCGAAAATTTATATTAGCGCTATCCCATAAAAATATCTGTATCTGTATCTGTAGCTGTATCTGTATCTGTATCTGTATCTGTATCTGTATCTGTATCTGTAGCTGTAGCTGTATCTGTATCTGTATCTGAATCTGTATCTGTATCTGTATCTGTATCTGTATCTGTATCTGTATCCAGATATGTATATGTATATGTATTCAGATCTGCATCTATATCTGTATCTGTATCTGTATCCAGATCTTTATATGTATTTGTATCCAGATCTGTATCTGTATCTGTATCAAACTTTACAATTATAAAATAACAAGGTAACAGAGTTTATTTAAACATAAAAGGATTAAAACTATAACAAAAAGTTAAAAATAAGTTCTAAGTTTATCCGCAAGCAGTGAAGGTGGCGGCAGGGGTACATCCAGAAAGACTGATCGAATAGGTGGCTTAAATAAGATATATTATAATATTTTTATTGTCAGTAGTTGCAAACAAATCTGCATAATCAACCCTGATCAATAACTTGGCATTTAAAGATTTGTAGAAATGTAAGGTACTTGATTTTATTTGAACAAATTAGAGACTAAATGTTTTGATATTTATGTCTATTTAAATTGTAAATGCATACCTGTGTAACTGAGTGATGTTGATGTTGATGTTGAAGTACTGGTCGTTGTTGTTGTCATGTAGTACCAGAAGAATTTTGCATTACGATTTCCAGCTTTCATCTGACTTCCTTCTACGCTGTCCACATCAATAGAGTCTTCCACCTTCCTAAATACAGTTTTATCTTTTATTTTTTATCTTTCATTCTTTTATCTTTCGTTCTTTTATCTTTCATTTTTTTATCTTTCATTCTTTTATCTTCCATTCTTTAATCTTTAGTTCTTTTATCTTTCATTCTTTTATCTTTCATTCTTTTCTTTTTTATTCTTCCTTTTTTTCTTTTACCTTTCATTACTATCTTTCATTATTTCATCCTTTTATATTTTATTCTTTCATATTTCACTCGGTTATCTTTCATTCTCTTATCTCCAATCTTGTATCTTTCAATCTTTTATTATTCATTCGTTTATCTTTCATTATTTCCGTACTCTTATCCTTCTCTTCCTCCTTCTCATCCCTCATCTCCCCATTCCTCCAAATCCCTCATTCTCCCCATTCCTCTAAATACCTCATACTCTCTCTCCACCAAATTGCACATTGTGAGCTAGTTACCTTTTAACTCTACTGATTTCAATTGTATCTTCAGCTTTACTGATAGGATCATTAGTCATCATCATTCTTTTACGTCTACACGCTTTTGTTATGGCTGTAAGTCTAAAATACAAAAGTTTGTGAATTGGATTGGAATTCAGTTTAAAAAAATTTTTCTTGATATTTTTCTGAAGAAAAATCTTACGCAAAGCATGTAGCTTGTGTCTGTAAAATCGATGTTGTTGTTGAGACTGTTGTTGATGTAGTAGAAGTTACTAAAAATAGTTTCCCTTCTCTAAACAGATTTATCTTATTAGTAAAATATAGATTATCAGTTTAAAGGTTTGTAAAGGTGGATTCTTGAAAATTAACAAATCAAAATTCTTTTAACACCGAATAAAAATTAAAGTAAAATTACAGAAAATATTTTTACATTTATATTTTTATCCAGTATACACATGATTGTGTGGTGACTGAATACTTGAATTCCACAACAGTTTGGGAATCGAGGCCTGCAGTGTTATTAATGCTCTACATTATTAAAGGAAACATTTTTACAGGAAAAATACAATAAAAAATTTCAACATATTTATCCAAGGATCATTGCTAAGTTTAAATGTATAAAGTCGTGACCTCTGTCAAAACGTCCACAATTAATGAAATAACTGAAGAACTTAACTTAGAAATGAAAATTATTTATGAATTTTCACCTATCAGCGGAAGCTGAGACTCCTAAGAAGAATAGCGGGGTTAAGATCAACAATCTCATTTTCTAAAACAATTTTTTTTAAATCAACAATTATTTTGAAGCAAAAAAAACCATTTGCATAAACACATTCTGTTGGATCAAATAGTTTCAGTTTGAAATATCAAATATTTACACCATCAGGGTGCAAATATATGGGGTTTAGAAAATTTGAGTTTCTGACAAAAACTCAGATCCTTAAATTTTCCTAAAAAGTAAAAAAAAGAGCGACATTTTTTTCATATAAAAATCAACTGTACATGGACAATTTTTCCGTTTTAGAAATGAAAACGGAAAATAAACGTCTTAAAAACTTTTCCAGTAAAATCAAATTGTTAAAAGCAATCATTTGACTGATATAGTTTAATAATAAAATACAAATAATAAAAAATAGATTTGTCCCCATAAGTCGCGTCCGTTCAATGTTAATTGTGGATTGTGGATTGAAGCGTGGTATACCTAGCAGGTCAGGAGAAATACTAAATATATTTTCTCATTTCAATATTTATACAAGACACAAGGATCACTATATGTAAATTTACCTTTTGTCATTGTTTGTCATTCACAGACACGCACCAACACTGTCTGTCTGTTCCTGGGGTAACCATAGAGAATAGATATCCTGTGCCTGGGGTAACCATAGAGAATAGATATCCTGTTCCTGGGGTAACCATAGAGAATAGATATCATGTTCCTGGGGTAACCACAGAGAATAGATATCCTGTTCCCGGGGTAACCATAGAGAATAGATATCCAGGAATTCTCTTCTTCCCATTCTGATACCGTTAGTTCTGGTAAATGACATAACTCTAAAATGTATATTTGGAATCTATTATATTTTGAAGTTTACAGGAACAACTTTTGCCCCTTTGTACCTTGTACCTAACCTAATCTTGACCATTGGTTCGATTTTAGCCTATTGTGGTAGACCTTAAATATATCAAATTATGAATTCTGTCATATTAAGTAATCTAAGTTTGAAATATCAAAGGTGAAAGCAATCAGGTTGCAAAGATATAGGAAATGAAAGTGTGTGTTTGTAGCAAAATCTCAATATTCCTTTACGCTTTGCCATTGTTTGTTATTGTACTGTTAGTCTGCTCCTTGATTAACTATAGGACTGGGCAAAGTTCCGTTTACAAAACGGAGGTTTTCGAAAATTAACTGAAGAGTCCGTTAACGAACGGCAAAATCCGTTAATTTTTATAACGTTAACAAAACGAATTTAACGATTTTGAAAAAAATTAACGGTTGAAAAAGAAAACTAAACGGAAGGGTTTTTGAAAACGGCAACCTTATTTTTTCTGCTAAAATTGCATGAAAATTTTTTATGTATTTTGCTATTTTTAAATATGATGGAACTTTTTGAAGATTTTTTGCAATTTGGTGATGGCGTGTGCTGTAAATCCAAGTTTATGAACCGTTCACGATTTTAAAGAAAATTTTGGAGTTTTGGCAAACCATTAACGCTATTAATACTACTTGCGCCGTTAACGAATTGAACAATTGCTGAACGGCTAATGCTGTTTAATTAAAAAACCGTTAACCAGAGATATCTACGAAATCCTTTCGTCCAAATCTCATCTATCGGCATAGTTCTGGTTAATGACAATAGGCTCATTTCTCGATATTTGATCCATCTTTAAATACTTTTAAGTCTGAAATTCAGCAACTTGGAGCTTCCGATAGAAATAGTGAAGTTTGTATTTTACCTAGCAATTGGGATCGTTTTGAGGTCTGTTTTCAGACATTCAGAGTTTTTAGACTTTTAAGAGACTCTACGAGAATCTGATTCTAATTCAAAATTGCATGATTGACAAGTTTAATTTTGTTACATTACGCAAAAATTTGTACTCTCACCAAAGATATTAACTTTTAATAATTCGTTTTGAAAAACCATTTTTGTTGATATCTTAGATCTTAGATCGAGAGAACAATTTTGCAATATAACAAATAATAATAATAACAAATTATGATGGAGAATTTTCAAGGTCAAGAATCCCTAAATGTTCAAAACTTCTACATCGTATCTTATCCACTGCTTGGTGACAAATAGGTCGATTTTTTATATAACATCTTCAAAACTTATAAAACTTATGCAATTAGTTAGCACGTCCAATCAAAGTTAAAAACTCGGATGGGATGGGGGAGAATACCGGATAGGATGGGGGAGAATACCGGATAGGATGGGCGAGAATACCAGATAGGATNGTATCATATTTGGTTGTATCATATTTGGTTGTATCATATTTGGTTGTATCATATTTGGTTGTATCATATTTGGTTGTATCATATTTGGTTGTATCATATTTGGTTGTATCATATTTGGTTGTATCATATTTGGTTGTATCATATTTGGTTGTATCATATTTGGTTGTATCATATTTGGTTGTATCATATTTGGTTGTATCATATTTGATTGTATCATATTTGGTTGTATCATATTTGTTTGTATCATATTACCTTTTATAATTTCAAAATAAATCTATTTTCTAGCATGATCATGTTCCGAACAAACGCGTCTTCATCGAGATTTTTGTTTTGACTCAAATGAATTAATTGAAAATAAATCAACAATATCTCCAGTTCTCTAGTTCTAGTTAAATCTAGTTTTTGCTGGAAAAAAATATTGGTTTTAGGATGTTATCACCATTTTTTCGGGGGGGGGGGGGGGTTAGTAGAACATGTTGATGTTTGTTAATTAATACATTGTCCTAGATAATGACATGTTACCTTCCAGTTAGTTCTAGATACACTGCATCAATTGACAGATATGTATAACTAGTAGTTTCTTCTCAGATGAAAAGGGTTGATGAACATGAACATGCAAATTTCAATGACTTGCATTTTTTAGAAAATATTTTGTTCTTGTCCAGATCTATATTTCTTCATATCCTTGGATAATGATTTCATTCTTATAATTATCAAAAATGAACTCAACGGAATTGAATCTTTGTCACAAACTCAAATTTTCAAATCCCTATATCTTTGCAATCTGATAGTGTAAACCTTTCATATTTCAAACTTAGATTATTTGATCTTACATAATTCATAGTTTGAAATATCTTAGTTCTACAAAGATAAAGGGATTAGAAAATTATTTTTACAAACGCTACGATTGTGTGTTAAACATAGTTTAAGCTTTTATATTTTTTTATAACAAGGTTGGTATAGATTTTAAAAAAACAATTCCAAAAGTCACATTTTCTAAATATTTATTTAAAGTTTACAGTTTTCACCATGCACATCTTTGTGCAAACCGTAAACCGTTGAGAATCGGAGTTTTTGGCGGGTAACAAGTTACTTTTCTGAGCTGAATTATATCGATATTTTGGCGGGTAACAAGTTACTTTTCTCAGCTAAATTATAACGATATTTTGGAAGGTAACAAGTTACTTTTCTCAGCAGGATTATATCGATTGTTTAGCGGGTAGCAAGTTACTTTTCTCAGCTGGATTATATCGATAGTTTGGCGGGTAACAAGTTACTTTTCTCAGCAGGATTATATCGATATTTTGGCGGGTAACAAGTTACTTTTTTCAGCTGGATTATATCGGTATTTAGATTAGATTAGATTAGATTAGATTAGATTAGATTAGATTAGATTAGATTAGATTAGATATTAATGATTTTGTTAACTTGTTAATTTTGTTTTCTCTCCAAAAGTGACTTGACCATTTCTTGCATATAATAAACAGTGGAGAAATTCCCAAGGGTACCGTTGCAAATCTGGAATTACAATCTTTTTTTATGCGATGGAGGGTCACTTAATACTACGCTTCCAGTCCCTTACAATCCAAGATAATATCCTAAATGATCCATTATGAACTGATCTAGTTCAAACTGGGCTATTCCTCTTCTGTGCAATTATAGAATATGACTCCCCTGGCTCTGGAACTACAAGAGATTAGGGTCCACCCTCTTGCTCTGGAACTACAAGAGATTAGGGTCCACCCCCTGGCTCTGGAACTAGAAGAGATTAGGGTCCACCCCCTGGCTCTGGAACTACAAGAGATTGCCCTTCCACCCCCTGGCTCTGGAACTACAAGAGATTAGGGTCCACCCTCTTGCTTTGGAACTACAAGAGATTAGGGTCCACCCCCTGGCTCTGGAACTAGAAGAGATTAGGGTCCACCCCCTGGCTCTGGAACTATAAGAGATTGCCCTTTCACCCCCTGGCTCTGGAACTACAAGAGATTAGGTTCCATCCCCTGGCTCTGGAACTACAAGAGATTGGGGTTCCCTCTTGGTTGTGTCCGAGGCCTCGAGAATGAATATAAATCCTTGAAAAGTGATATTGCAGGGTTTACCATATGGTTCTTGACATGGTTGAGGGAATAGGTTTTTGCTTGTCATTCTACTGCTGCTATAGTTCATACGGTAGTCTATACACTCTATAGAGGTCATCTACAGGCTGCTGAAATAATAATCTGTAGGTGCCACTTTTATACGCTAGACATTCAGGCCGTTTCAACTTGTGCCATGCCAGGTCCCACACAATATGATGTAGTTCAAGTTTTATGCCTTTACGGAGGAAGAGGGGGAGGAGGCGGTTGACTTCTTGAACCCATTAAAACCCATGAATTCAAGAAATTACTCTGAGCCCTGCATTTCCACCTCCGAGCCCCAGAATTTGTCATTTTTACTTTCTGATCTGACTTTCATATATTATTACCCCCAAATGACACCTAGCTTGTTAAATCTGGAAATTGTAATCTCTATAAGCTCAATTGTTTTAAAGTTCGGAGCTGTTACAGATTTTTTGTATTACCCATTGAAGTTTCAAGTTTCAAGTTTCAAATAAGAAATCTTATAAGCATTTATTCCAGCCCGTTGCTAGGAATTTTTCAAAGAGGGGTGCACAAATGTTGCAGGAGAATTTTTTTAAAAACCTCAAAAAGGGTTAAAATTAATGACTCACGCTTTAAAAGCTAGATTTTTAACTTTTCACACAAGTTAAAATTTATAAAGACAGATATTTAGCCTGTTTTGCATTATGTTTTCTTTCCCTTAAGTGCTATTGAGAAGCTATTGCATCAAAACCAACAAAAAACTGGAAGTAAATTGATGTCATAATCATACTGATTAATCATTAAACTCTGATCAGAATATATATTAAGTACAGATTTGAGTTAAACTATAAGTACATATATTTTAACTATAGGGAAAGGGGCATTAAGGATGAAAATGCCTGTAAAACTTAAAGAAAAGCTCAAGCATGAAAATCTTCAGATATTCCAGAACTAAAATTGGAATTTGTAAAAAATCTCCTAAAGCTTGAGGCAGAGTACAAACTTCAACTTCTCCTAAACCTGGCTTTATTATATATAATTTCAATTTGTCTCCATGTTGTTACTTATCGCTTTAAGATAGTTCATGAAAATTATTAATCTAAAGAAAGATCGGAAAAATATAAGTTTCTTAAAATACAAAAAAAATATTTTTACCCTATCATTTCATAAGTTAAGACCGGATAAAAATAAAAATGTCCGGAATATATATTTCAAAAATGCACTCAATTTTCCTTAAATTGAAGAAAAAATAAACCTTAACACACACATAGTATCGGAAAAAAATAGATTTTTTGACATATTTCGCCTCATTTTTCTTATTTCTTTCATTTTTCGTTTCCTTCTTTTCATTTTTTCATTTACTTCTTTTTTGTCTCAGATAATTTCCCCCCCCCCCCCTCCTCCTGTGCCCCCCATTTGGGGGGAAAAGCGTGATCTAGTAATTTTCATGAAAACCTTATAAAAGCAATATCGAAAATGTATCAATTGCAAAGAAGAAAAAAAGTACATTTTTAAACAGATACTATAGGAACTGTTATAAAGCCTTAAATTTTTTTGAGGGGTAAGTTGAAAATAAGGATTTTAAAAAACCAATCAGAGCTTCTCAAGTTTACCGAGGATCAGAAGAACATAACGAACTTTAAAATTCTTTTATAAAACCAAATACACTTGTTATTTACACACTTAGCTTTAACAAAACATTCCCTGATTCATTCATAACTCGTGATAGTTTTACTTTTCATCAATTCTATAGATTTTAAGTTTTAACCAACGCTGTTAAGTAATTGAATATAATTCTTTTCTATTTTGAAAATTAAGTTTATTATGACTTCAGAATTGCATTAAACACATTATATAGTTGTTTGTAACATTACATAGACAGCAAAAGAAAAGTAGGGGGGTGAAATTTTGTGACATTTTTCAGAAATCATTTTACAAAAGCAAAAATGTATTCTACTTGGAATATTTTTTTAAAATATACAATTTTTAACAAAAATCAGAAATGAGTCCTTAAAATGGGTTGT